AAATTTACGTCTACACAAAAATCTGCACACAGATGTTTATGGCAGCTTTATTAAAAATTGCCAAAACTTGGAAGCAGCCAACATGTTTATTAGGTGACTAGATAAATAAACTGTGGTATATCTAGGCAGTGGAATATTATTCAGTGCTAGAACAAAATGAACTAGCTAGTGATGAAAAGACATGGAAAAACCCTAAATGCATGTTACTAAGTGAAAGAAGCTAATCTGGAAAGGCTACTTACTGTGATTCCAACCATTTAACATTCTGGAAAAGTCAAAACTCTTTCTTTGTAAGACAACCCTTGTCACTGCTAGACAGCTCCCATTCTTACGCAGGTCTTCACATTGTGCTAAAATCTCCATGAAACTTCCACCCAACAGTCCCAGTTCTGGCCTCTAGCACCACTGACTTCGTCGGTGTGACAAAGATAGCTGATGTGTTCCCATGTAGGTCTTTACTCTCTCCTGGATGCCCCGTTTCCTAAACTGTTCCCCCTGTGTCAGGTTTTCAGATTTCCTTCTCGGAGTGTTTTCTGGCTGTCAGTGACTCCTTGAAAGATAGATACCTGAACATCCCTACATGCTTTTTTTCTTTTCTTTTTTTACAGCTGCAGAGCTTTTTGTCCAGTGCCCCGTTGATAAAAACATCAGTTTGCTTCTAATCTTTTGCTATTATGATAATACAGTGAAAAATGCTGGTGCACATGTCATTTCACAAATACCTCTAGAATAACTAGAAAAGAAATAGTGAAGTGGAAGGGTGTACATATTTGAAATTTTATTAAACTTTGACAGATCGGTTTTTGTAGAATTTGTTCCATTTTGCCTTCTCTTTAGAAGTCTGTGTGAGAATGTGTCTTTCCCACACGGTCTGTAACACAGTGTGTTATTCTAACATTTGTATCTTTTTGCATCTGACAAGTGAAAAGTGGTATCTCATTTCAGTTTTAATTTGCATTTCTCTTCGTTTTGAGAGAAGTTGAGCATCTTTTTATATTTTTAAGA